CCCCCCCGCTCGGGTTGGTTGAGCCTGGCGGAGTCGACCCTGAAGAGCCGAGACTTCCCGTCACGCTCGTCTGAATTACGCTCTGCTCGTCTGCAGGAAAGCAGTGAAGGCGACGCTGGTGTTGCTGCCCTTGTTAGGAATCACCTACATGCTGTTCTTCGTCAACCCGGGCGAAGATGAGATCTCTCAGATCGTCTTCATATATTTCAACTCGTTTTTGGAGTCGTTCCAGGTACAGTTCACCTCTCCAGCAGCTGAGAACCATGACACGTTGAAGGCAGCGACTCATCAGCTCCTACTTTATTCAGAATGAATCAAATCAAACGTTGAAACTAAGAAATTTAACCTCGTTCAGATAAAACCAAGTAATTTTCAGCAGCACGTCTCTTAAAGGTTGTTCCAACCAAACGCTGTAAAAGTCAGAGGCTCAAATGAGAAACAGCTGGAGGAGAAATTTGTAACTAATCAGATAAATTATCATCAGACAAGAGGACTGAGTGTAAAAAGAGTCTTTCAGAGGCTGCATCTGTCAGAAGTAAAGACGTGCAGAGGGTYACCAGTCTGTGGAAAACTGTCGGAAAAGACTGGAACACTTTCAGAATAAAGTTCCTCAGGTCTGGTTCTGTTCTGGACGTCGCTGCATTTAAACACAGTTCGCTGTGCCTTCCACTAATGCTGCTTAAAGCTCTATCAGGCAAAGAAGAAGCTGTACGTGAGCATCCTCCAGAACAGCTGCTGTCTTCTCTGAACTTAAGATCATTTAAAACGGACTGAGGCAAAGTGGAGAACTGTTCTGTGATCAGACGGATCCAAACCTGAAATTCTGTTTGGAAACCACATCCTCCACACTAAAGCCTGCCTCTCTGATGGTATGGGGGAGCATTAGTGCCTCTACGGGCAGAATTTAAAGGTTTTAGAACATCTGCTCCAGTCCAGGAATGTTAAACAGCTAGAATCCTCCATCAGACCAGAATGGGGCAGGTCCTCCAAAACTATCAGAACTGGTCTCCACAAGTCCTCTAAAACTGTCAGAATGGATCTCCTCAGTTCCTTTAAAACCATCAGAACTGGTCTCTTTAGTTACTCCAAAACCATCAGAACTGGTCTCTTTAGTTACTCCAAAACCATCAGAACTGGTCTCCTTAGTTACTCCAAAACCATCAGAACTGGTCTCTTCAGATCCTGGACCTGGAACAACCTTTTGAGAAGTTTTGCTGACACTGAATTAAAAATGACCTTTTGAACATTTAATGTTTGTTTTGTTTCATTCTGAATAAAATATCAAATTTATAGAATCATTTTGTTCTCTTTAGTTTAATCAGGGTTTTAGCTGTAACAGTAGCTGTTTTAGCTGTAATAGTAGCCATTTTAGCTGTAACTTTAGTTGTTTTAGCTGTAACTGTAGCTGTTTTAGCTGTAACTTTAGCTGTTTTAGCTGTAACATTAGCTGTTTCAGCTGTAACTAGCCATTTTAGCTGTAACAATAGCTGTTTTAGCTGTTTTAGCTGTAACTTTAGCTGTTTTAGCTGTAACATTAGCTGTTTCAGCTGTAACTAGCCATTTTAGCTATAACAATAGCTGTTTTAGCTGTAACTGTAGCTGTTTTAGCTGTAACTGTAGCTGTTTTAGCTGCAACTTTAGCTGCTTTAGCTGTAACTTTAGCTGTTTTAGCTGTAACTGTAGCTGTTTTAGCTGTAAC